ACCTACCTGACGCTTGGACATAATTTCCTCGACCAGAACACTAACTGCTTTAACTTGATGGTGCTCTAGGCAGGGAATGAGAAATGCAATGACCCCATAAACCATTCTGGGGGTGTGTCAACTTCTTTTTTTTCCGGGTCCCCCGATATGGTGGGGTGTCCTTTTGGTTTCCTTTCGAAAACCACCAAAAGGGTGGCACCAACTCCACAACAAGGCCACCATGTCTGATGTCCACAAGCACGAGTTTCAGGTTGTTCAATGCCTTTCAGATTTATTTGGTTTTAGTGCCCCCAGTGTTCGTTAGACGCACCCAGAGGCCAATGTTTGGGTGAACCAAAATGGTGAATTTCCGGAAACCCAGAGGCCGATTTCATTTCCGCACACATTTGGTGAAACCCAACAATTTCCCTGCCTAACATTGGTTCTTGTCAAGGGCGTCGATTATTTATTTTTTTCGGGGCGAAGGACATTGGGAGCACTCGCTTACGCATCTTGCGCGTCCAAAGGCTCACGTTTCAAGCAGTTTCTGCACTTGTCACCCGCCATTTGGATGTGTCTTCTTTCTTTCTTTTTTGAGTGGGGGGGACAGCATTTTGAGGTGGTGTTGAAGGGAAACCAATTGGGTGTTTCTCAAACTTGGGGACCCCAGGTAGGTGGTTTCCTTTTGGTTTCCGCGTACGTCCAGGGGTCCCCGATTTTCTGAGAAACGCCCAATTGCGCAATTGGCAGCCAGGCTTTCTCACTGGTTTCGAAAGTTCGTGAGTCTCCGAAGCTTGGAGTGTGTTTCAGGGGAACCCAACCTTACCTCTTAAAAACACAACTTTTCAACTTCTTGGGTAACATGAGCTATATGTCTGTAAAAGATTAACTTCCCCAGGGCTTGGAGTTTTAAGGGGTAAGCAACAAAACCATTGTAAGCACTGCATGTAAATCAAACTACCTGGTTACTTAGGTTCGGGGGGGAAAAACAAAAAACAAGCCGTCGAGTTTGTGATTGTTTTTCCTCAACAAAAATGGAAGGCGACAAGAGGAATGATCACTTCGCGCTATTTTTTTTTATTTTATTTTTTCTGAAGGGCTTCTTTTGTTTGACCCAGCGGTCGTCTTGGAGCTGTTGAAAGGGCATTTGCTTCCTTGCTGGTTTTCAGCGGGGAATGAGTTGGACCGCCCCTATATGCCTTCCCTGTTTCCTTTTTTTTATTGGGAATCCCTTCATTCCCAACGCCCTGAGTCATTCCCTACTATGATCGCCAGCTAGTTGAGACAAACTCATGTCTGTATTACTATATATACCTGGACCTTCCAACATGTAAAATTAACGCCGTTTCCCAAAACAGCAATAATTTTCGCCGGTTGCTGAAAAAAACGCTCTTTCGGAGAAAAAGCGCTCGCCGTGAGTCCAGCTCGGAACCAGGCAAAAAAAACGCCGGTTCGCCGGCAAATTACGCCGTTTTGACGGCAAATTACGCCGTTTTGCAATTTTGATTGATGCTAGAGTGTGCAAACACTGAAAACTGCCGGCAGGCGAAAATAATCGCCGTTGGGTCAAAAGACATAGTTTTTGACAAAACTGCAATATATAATTTTGCACATGTTGGAAGACCCAGGTATATATATAAATATATATATATATATCAAGCATATCCAACCAACAGATCAAGGAAGGGTGTCAATAGGATGTATCAAAGTCAGATTCTGAATGTGCATGCCAGATGGAAGTGTTTTGTTGTTGGCGCAGCGTCCCACTACGGATTGCAGAACCTAGAGACTAACATGTGTATATACATATATGTACATACATATAGATTCTACATATGCATACACTTATACATATACGTATGCACGTCTATTGCCTGTCATGGTCAAAAAGTCGCCTTTTCTTGGTGTGTGGGGGGCGGATCATCACACCCTGAACAGGCATTTTAGAGGGTACGACTGCCATGAACCGAGCAACTAGGTGCTCGGAGGCCCGCCAGATATGCCAACTGCTGGAGAATACACCAATTCTTCTGCCTATTTTATAGCGAGCTTCCCTGGGGGTAAAACGAGCTCACCATGATAAGCATCCTTTGCTTGGGAATCCCATATTTTAGGTACTTGTGCAAGAATTGTTCCATGCACAGTCTACTGGAGCTCCTTTCCTGCCTGATGTGGGGTTGCAAGGGGTTTTGAATGCATCTCACGTGGGTGTCTCGTTTTGCGATGGTACCCTTTTTGGGGTTTGTTTTTACCAGGAAACCTAAGGAAGCCGACCAGTTTTAGGTGTCTCATGAGACAATCACATTGGTGTTGATGCTTCGAGGAGCAACGGCGGATCCTGCAAGAGTATCCCGAGTTGGAGGACCGGCTGAGCGACCATTCGATATCTTGCTGGATTTGCTCAACCAAAACATGTGGGTGTATCTTTTTTGGAGTTGGTACCCCTCATTTGGTGGTTTAAACGGAAACTAAAGGGAGCCCACTCTTTTTTTTGTTGGGGGTCTCCTAAACAAAGACACACCCTTGTGTCATTTTAAGGGGTTGGAATGGGAAATCAGAGGGGCTGCTGGCGGGGGAAACTTGTCATTTCCAAGGAACCTGTCCATACCACCAACCTTCCAGTTGCTGAGTAGTTTTTTGGTCTCCCTGGTTTGCTTTAACGAGAATCTGTCACTGGAAATATGTTCTCATTCTTTCCAGGGGACGAACAACGCAAATGGAGGTCTTTGGTGGTGTATCAGTGTATCCATGTTTGGAATCGACCCCAAGCTGGGCAGGCTCTAGGGGACAACGGAAAGAAAGCCACCCATAAAATGTCAGGGGTTCCCCATACTGTGGATGGACGAACTCCATTTCGCGCCACTTTGAAATTTGTGCTTTGCGTTTTATTTGACCTTCGGCTTTTCCAGCCAGATGCGTGTTTCCCATTTGACGTTTCACAGATGTTTGGCTGTGGGTTCGCTACGCCAGGAGGAGGAGTTCCTGCTGCAGAGGGCGGACCGCCCTACCTGGCTGGCCGCACACTCAGATCGGGAGCTTGTTCTGTCCGAAGGGGTTGGGATCCTGAAAGTTAACCGCCTGGAGTCTCCTTCCGACCCTTGAAAAATGGGGTCGTTACCCGCCTATTTTGGGTCGTTACCCAAAATAAGCTGGTCATTAATTTATGTTTAAAGGGTCGTGGAGACTCCAGGTACCCGGTTTTTTAGCTAGGCAAGGGAATCACCCTAAGCCAAAAGGTAGCTTGTTGCCTGCATGGGTAACAGGGATCCACTGAACATGGATCAGCCGATTCCCATTAAAATGGTGCAAGCCCGATTTGGATTTTCTGACCATCCTGAACGGTAAGCAATGCTGAAATATGAAGCCCTGTTGATTTGAACCCCAGGAAGAGCAACGCCCGCCGTTTTGTAGCTGGTCCTGCCCGCAGGTTTCAGCAGCGAGGACGTTTTGCGTTTCAAGGATCTGCGAGCCGTTTCGGGCCCCGTGCCCGGCACGCGAGAAGGACGCGGGGCAAGACGCATGGCTGTCAAGACACCTGGAGGCTCCTTCTGACCCGAATCAAAAATAGGTCCATGACCCCATGATTATAGAGAATGACCAACCATTTTTTAAGGGTCAGAAGGAGACTTTAGGCAGATACACCATTGGCCCGGTGTGGTGTCAAGCTCCTCTTTCAGCTCCAATCCCTCGAGGTGGTGGTGCATCCTGCAAGAACAACTTGCTGGTGCGATACTTGGATGTTCGGCCAAGTTAGTAAGTGGTTAGCCAGCCCACTTATATTGGGGTCAACCCAAGTGGCTAGCCACTTCGTAACTTGGCCGAACATCCAAGTAGGCAGGGAATGAGTTGGAATGAACCCGAGAATTGGTCCCCTGGAGAACCGCCAGCAAGGGATGGTTTGTCTTGGGTCATTCCATTTCTCATTCCCTGCATCGCTCGCACCAGGATGGGCAGTTGGCACTTGGTGCCAGGCCGAAGCCTGACCGCAGCTTTTTCGTTTTGCAGGTTCCGGGTGGTTCTGCTAAACAGCCGTTTTTTGTGTTTTGTTTTGGGGTGGGGGAAGGAGGTTCAAGTGTTTATTTTGAGACACATTTAGGGCCTTTTTTTGGGGGGGGTAACCACCCTTTTGGAGGTTTGAAAGGAAACCAAAGGGGCAACTGGCCATTTTGAGGGCAAGCAGCCTCAATCCCCTGGTCAAGACAAATGGGTGTGTCCTTCGAACCCCCAAATGTTGATGTTCCTTTTTGGTTTCCCTTGCACACCAACCAAAAGGGCGGCTCTTCCCTGACATGTCCTGCAAAACGTCTTCACTTTCTCACTGTTTTCTGCCTGGAGTCTCCTTCTGACCCTTTAAAAATGGGTCAATGACCAACCATGATTTTGGAGAATGACCGACCTTTTTTTAAGGGTCAGAAGGAGACTCCAGGTACCTGGTTTCTGGCCCTCAAACCCTCAGACCCTCAAACCCTCAGACCCTCAGACCCTTGGACCCTCGGACCCTCAGACCCTCAAACACATGGCCCTGAGAGCCCTGGTTGAACTCCTCGCCTCAGAACTGCTCGCTGAGGTGGGGGGCAGCCTGGTGGCGGGTAAGGAGCAGCTGCCCTTCCAGATCTCAGCCTCCACGGTGGCAGGGCCCCCCGACTTCAGGACGGACCGAAGCTTCGCGACGGGCTAGTGAAGCACCGGTCTTGGAGGATTTACTGCTGCAAATAATTTGGGAATTTGGGGGATATCAAAAATCCTTCTCAGGAACCTTGTTTCTGGTCAAAGTTGTTATACCAAAGGATGTTCTCTGTGGAAATCACCGGCGAGTTTGACCCGCATAGCCCCCCATTGAAGGTCCATGACACCGGGGCACTAGTACATCGGCGGACTGGCTTGCCTATTTAAGTCTTTGCCTTGAATGGTTCATGCCCTTTTGCAAGTCTGAGTTTGGCCCGTATTTGGCGGGGCTTGAAGGGTAATGAACACTTTGGTGCACTTTGCTTGGATGTTAGGACTTTAACTTGCTGCCAACTAATGGGTTTTCCATTAAACCACTAAAAGTTAAACTTTTAGCAGGGCAGCAGAAAGCAACCGAGAAAATCAACGGCCGACTTTTCGGCGGGGGGGAGGGGGGATTTGAGGAGGCTGAGCTCAAGAGCAGATGAGCGACGTCACGTTTCGGGGGGTGGCGACGCCCAAAGTGAAGCCTAGGGTTCCTTGCCATTACAAGAATGGCCAAGACCCAATCCTGAACGGTGCAGGGTTAGGAAATATGAACCCAAAATCTTCAGGGTTGAAAGGACCCCCAAAGGAATGGTTCCTGAGGACCTTGGAGCCCATCGGCCTGCAGCCCATCGTGTCCCCCTTCTTCCAGGACAAAGAGGGCGCTTTGTACTCCTTCGGCGCCTCGGAGCTCGGGGGCTTGGGATGCGCGAGGGACCCGTTGGTTCCTGGTCCATTCGTTTAATACGGAAAATCCATTCGTTGGCCAAAAGTCTTCAAAATTCCCAGGGGGTGATTGGCTGGTCCATTCTTTTCAAGCATGCTTCTTTTCAACCGGATCCGTTTTCAAGCTGGGATTCGAAGGAGGTTTTCTAGAAAGATTCGGATGCCTGGAAAGAATGGACATGGAAGGTACCCCTAGAGCACTTGGCACGTGGCGCCCTGTCAGGCCCACTTGGTATGGCTCTGACTTGTTTTGATGAACCACGTTGATCGGTGGATCTGTTGCGTGAGGGTTGACTCTTTTTGGCTTAAGGGGAAACCAAAAGGAAACCAAGTGTTTTTTGGAACTTTGATGCGGAGCTACGTCAAATTAAATGAGGTTGGTGGGTGTGAATTCCCACCGAATTATGATGTCTGCCAGTTTGGATCCCAATTGAAATTCATGCGAGCGCATTATTGCAACTCTCTTCCCCACTTTGTGGACTTGAAACTTTTTCGAGCTAGATCATTGTGGTGGCATCACTCCCTCAGTTCCTGGACTTCAAACTTTCTGGGAAGACCATTTTAAGGTAAATAGAAAGTGGCTTTTCTTTGGCCAATCCACGGAAGTGAGTGGTAGGCGAGAAAAAACAAAAAACAACGGGTGCGTTTTCTGCTCACTCGATTGGAAGCGAGGCAAGCTTAAGGAAACGGATCGAATTCACCCATGGCGCTTCAGTATGGTTTCTCGATTTTTTCGCAATACACTTCCCCAGAAGTAGTTCCCGGTTTTCACCTTTTTTGATCTTTGTTGCTTTTTCCCCTTTGTTTTCCACTCACCAGGCAAAAAAGAGATTTATTTGTTGCTGGGGTCCTAGTTCCAGCCAAGTACAGTGGATGCTGCGACAAGTGCGTAGAGGTTGATCCCCCATAGTTTTCACCCATCGTTTGAGAGCTGACTGAGCTATTTGGAAGAGACGGATGGTAGCAGAAAGTTGGCTGCATCAGCCCCTTGCCCTTCGATTCACACTCAATTGCTGCCAAGACTATCCCAGTGGATCCCTGTTGCCCTTATTAGGTAACCAATGTTCAACCTGTTGTTTAAATGTTGTGTTTTTAATTAGCATACAGGTAAATGGATACGCTGGGTATGTTCTTCCATCAATGTCCGACTTGTTTGGACCTCAACTGACGTCGAATCATTAGAGCCTGCCTACCTTAAATGCCAGTAATCCCTCACCGTGTCAGCTTGTTCCAGCAAATTGCTCATGGTTGCCAATATGAACTCTCGGGAAAACAGGGTGCGGTGGTATCCAAGTAAGTATCTAAGTTGGTGGTTGCAAGCAATTTTGCTTAGCAGGCTAGAAGGACCAATCTTCAGTTGGGTTTGTCTCCGTTTGTATGTCCCGTAGGCCATTTCAGACCGTTCGGTTTCAAAAAGATGGAACCGAGACAAGAACTTGGGCTCCATCCCCCAACACGAATCCCGCCAGCTAGGTGCAACGCTACTTAGACAATAGAACAACGTGCCCCCTATTTTGGTTGGTGCAAACATACTCATTTTTTGACATGCAGGGACCCATCTGCCGGCAGGCTCGTGTTGTTTTTGTTTGCCCGTTTCGTGTCGCCTCCCTTCGTGAGCGAAGGCTCCATCGACACCTTTGCCTTTGGCAGTCCCAGTGAGGCCCAAGCGAAACTGCGGGGTGGTGTGGGGTGGCGAGAATTTGAGGTCAACCTCGTCATCTCTCGTTTCTTCGAGTCCGTTGAAGGATGCATTTGGGATCCAAATGCCAGCTTTACCAGCTGATTTAGATGCCCTTTGTCCGTGTCTTTGGGATATAAAATTTCAAGGCGCCCTGTCTTGGCCAAAAAATCGCTTTATCTGCAGGGACCCGCCGCCATTTGTTGGAGGTCACTTTGTGTCCAGGGGAATTGGATATGATGCTTGGTTCGAATACACTCCCAGTGGAATCAAGCAACAAAGGGTCCTCATCCCCACAGGGCCGTAGATCTCTGATAGAAAAAACACCTTTTTGAAGTGAGTTTACTGGCTGCACAGGTCCCAGGTGTTCTTTTTTCATAGAGCGGACCCAAGGAAAATCCTGCCTGGAAAGGGGTCGCTTGGACGTTCGGCTGAGTTAGTAAGTGTTTGGCCCAGGATACAACCCACTAACAGCAAGGTACGGAACACCCTAAAACACACACACACAACCAAATATGAAACTGGATTGGGTAGCGAAAGGAAGTTTACCATAAACACCCGCAGAACCTCAAGTATTTCAGGGTGCTTTCTTTGAGAATGTACGCGGCTCGCGACAAACAGCTACAGAACGGTTCAGCTGGGGAAGAAACCGCTCCGAGCCAGCAAGAAGTTCGCCAAATCTCACGAACAGATTGCGCTCGTTGTTTGTTTCTCCTTTTTTTTGCACCGGTTCCCCCCAGACTCCATGTTTACCCCTATTTTATGGAGAAAACCCGGAAAAAAAGCTCGGGGGGGGGGGTCTGGGAGAGGGGGCCCAGGTGAGGAGGGGAGGGCAGGGGAGGGGAGGGGAGGGCAGGGGAGGGGAGGGGAGGGCAGGAGAGAGGGGAGGGGAGGTGAGGGGGGCCTTGGTACTCCTTCTTGTGGAGGGCCCCTTTATGCCAAAAAGAATCGCGCCCCTCCCATGGGAAATCTGGAGGTCTGGCAAGGGCTCCCCTTTGCAATGGAAATAAAGCCCGCAACGCCAGAGATGTCTGGCATCTCCAAGGCAGACCCCCAAGGAAGTTGTTTTTGCCAAGCTTGTCCTCATAGGTGGTGTCCTTTTTGGTTGTTTTGCTAGAAACATAGATGGCCCTGGTGTACCTGGTGGTCTAATCATCTACCAGGGCCATCTATTTCCCCTAACAGGACACCTATGCTTGTCCTGTTCTTCCAAGATTTGGTGGCTTCTCTCCGTTGCTCCTTCTGGTTTTGACTCTCCAGTTGACACCTCAGCTGTGAGCCCTTTTGTCCAAGTTTATGACTCCAAGAGGTGATAAGAAGCCCTCCTTGTTAGGGTATCAAGGGAAATCTAGGGTTAGCTCCGAGATCTATGTTCGAAAGAAATTCACATATCGCCGCCTATCGCAGCTGCAGAGTGTGTTTTGTTCCAAGGTGTGCCTGGGGCCTTTATTTTGCCTATTGTTAGGGGTTATCAAAGTCAGAAACTGAAATTGGTTGTTTCCCTTCAACCTAGCACTTGGGGAGTGACAATGGCCAGCTTTCGTCTCTTTTTGATTTCCCAACTCAGTGGACACCACAAGCGACCAGGTTTCAGCCTCTGCCTTGCCTCAGGAGCCTGCAAAAAGGCCCTTCACGCTGGCTGACATCCTCACGCTCAGCGCCGCGGACTCTTTGAGAACGGGTCAGCCCCAAAAAAGCTGCGGATCCAATGTCTTCCATTTGTTAAGAATAGTACGTATTTTCCTTTTTTGGTTTTAAAGGGAATCTATCGCTAGTGGAAGTAGTTTTTTGTTTTTTTGCCTCAGGGGGCTTGAGCAAATGGAAGATTTGCTGCTATGCATCCTATGTCCCAATCCATGGATACATTTGAGGATCCCTGTTTTGGCTCTGATTCTTTAATAGGGGACCACCTCAAAAGTAAGTGGTTGACCATGCCCGAGTTTGGCAGTTTGCCAGCAGCTACTGGCACGTAGCACTAAGTGTTGTCATGTGGTGACGCTTGGCCGCTCCAGCAGCCGCAATCTTCATCATTTGAGCCACTTGCTCAAAACCCGGGTAGATGGAGGTTAGTAAGGGATACTCCCAGCCACAAATAGCTGCGGATCTCCGCCTTCTTAATTCTTAAAGCATGATTCTGGGCAGACCATTTTTGTACGGGTTTTGGTTGTGGCTGATTTCGGCAATCTTCTCGGGAAAGGAAGTTGTAGCTGCGCTGATCATTGCTTTCTATTCTTTGTGCGAGCCGCTATTATACGATATATGTATGACGCGATCTTGTCTTCTTCGTATCAACTGTCATCATTGTCTCAACATATGTATGGCGCGATATTCTCGGTTTAATAGCAAACTTATACATGTATCAAGTAGTACTGTGGATGGACGAAATCCTGCACCACTTTGAAACCATGGTAAATCATTGTTTCGTATTTACAGGGGAATCATCACAAACCAGGGTTTCTGAACGGTGGTGCGATGTCTGGATTTCGCAACCATCCACAATATCATGGTCTACCTGGAGTCTCCTTTTGACCCTTAAAAAATGGTTGGTCATTATCCCAAATCATGGTTGGTCACGGACCCATTTCTACAGAAAACAGCGAGAAAGTTAAGACGTTCTGCAGGACGTGTGCGAAGAGCCGCCCTTTTGTTTGGCGTGAAAGGGAAACCAAAAAGGGGCATCAACATTTGGGGGTTCCAAGGACACACCCATTTGTCTTCACCAGGGGATCAAGGCGCCCGCCCTCAAAATGGCCGTTTGATTGGTTTTCTTTCAAACCTCCAAGGTGCCAGTCCCTAGGTTCCTTACTGGTTCGCCCAACAGCGCCCGACCTACGTTCGACTTAGGCGGCTTGAGCCGCGCGGGCGGCACGCTGGGCCGTCAGGTGGCCTGGCCTCTGCAGGCGTCCAGCCCGGGTACAGACGGGCGCGGGAAATCCCCTGGGGGCATAATACTGTGCTTGGACGAAATCCATTTCGCACCACTTTGAAACCAGGAGAAACTCTTGTTTGTTGGCATTACCAGGGAATCGTCATTCCAGGCTTTCTTAGGTGGTGCAGGATTTTGTCCATCCACAGTAGGTGTCTCAGTTGTTCACTGGCACCTTTTTTATTTCCCCCCTTTTTTTGGGTGGCTGCCCCCAAAAGGGTTCCCGTTGTGTTTTCAGGATCACTGAACAACTGAGGTGTCCCTTTTCGTTGATTTGGTTGAAACATAGAGGGCCCTGGTTTACCAGCAGGTTGAATCAACTACCAGGTTACCAGCCCCATCTATTTGCCCACAAAGGACACCTATGCCTAGGGGTTTCTTTGCTGCATTTTGCCAAGGGATGTTAGGACTGAATAACTTTTTGCCACCTAATGGGGTTTTCACTAAACCCCTAAAAACATAACTTTTAGCAGGGGAGCAGAAAGCAGCCGATGTTTTGGGGTGGGCCCTATCGTTTGCTTCAGCTTTTCAGGGTTAGCAGAGAAGCAACAGAGGGAAATATAGCATCACTGTGTTCAGGAAATCTTGGAGCTCCATTCGACTACTGAAAGGGGCGATCGGGTACTTAGTAAGTGGGTAGTCACCATGGTACAACCCACTTGTCATGGTTCCACGTCTCCTAAGTGGCTTATAGGCTTTCTCGCCACTTACGAAGTACCCTGCCCCATTTAAGTTGTGATGTGTCGACCCTTCTAGGGAGGGCTCGACTTTTGGACCAGGGCCTCAAATAGCTCCTTGGCGGCCTGGGCACCAGTCGTGAGCCTTTCGTTGCTGTTGTTACTTGTTATTTCTTTGGCGTTGCCATGTGCTAGTTACCATCATTGAGATATAGGGGTGTCTTGAAATAGGGGACCCCTCCAATTTTCCTTTTGGCTCCACTTTAAACCAGCCCCGAAAAGGGTACCCTGAAAAAGACAGACCCACACACATGTATATACATTGGTACATATATATATATAATATCTGAGTTAACTTAGTGTCATTACGTAATTCGTTTCTTATCTGACTGGAACCATTTGTATTTCCGTTACTACTTCCCGAGCTCGCCAATCCTAGCTCGACTCGTAGGCGACCACCGGCCGGGAACTAAGCGCCAGTTTTTTTGTCCTAGGCATGTGGATGTGGCTTTTGTGGGGGGAGCGAACCCGCTTTTGGTTACTCAAGGGGAAACCCCCTGTGTTTGGGGGAGAACCTTGTTTTGGTGGGTTTTATAAATACTCAAGGCAGGGCAGGTATCGGGGACGAATGGTAAAGGATGCGACGTTGGCCCCTTCGGATCCGGAACTGGTCAAACCCCGAATTATGACGAAGTTATCCACTGGCAAAGTCTGAAATCGGCTTCATGGCCTAGCATAGTCGTTTCTTTGCCTGCTATGTTAGGGCGAAGTCACCGATTCCGGGGTTGAATGGGCTCCCCAAAATGCTCCTTTACGCGGAGTTGTGACGGGACATGATAAGGTCAGATTTATCGGGAGTCCTAGTGCTGGGTCGAATGAAAGTCTACCTCTTAGCAGGGGTTCCACCAGCTACCAGGTTCTACTATTTGTACATATATATATATATGTACTTGTATATATGTGGACATGTTCCACGGATGACATAGGGCAGACACAGGGCACACAAAATGCCATGGGTGGGTGGGTAGTCACCGCGAGACACTGTTTGGAGCCGTTGATCATTTCCCTTGCTCAAGCTCTGAATCAGCAGCAGCACAGATCCCAAATACCCAATACCCTGAGCAGACTCCAATTGTCCACCTTGGTTCTTGAGCCGCGGATGGTTTTGAATGGGCGGAGAGTGTGGGACACTTTCTGGAGTTCCATTTTCTGCTGCCAGGGTATGATGGAAGGGATATCAAGCTTAACTCCTTCCCAAACAATGACCCCCGGCAATGAAACCAAGTATTGTCCTGAAGCACTTGGTGTGAAAGTTATTTCAGCATGGGATTTCGATTGGTCCAATCGGGGGTCCTATGTCGAGTACTTTGGCAGAAGCAAACGAAGGCTCGGAGACCTCCAAGCCGCAAGCTGAACCCTTCGTGGGGGGGTAGGGGGTATGGGGGGGAAGGGGAGGGGGAGGGAGCCCAAAGAAGCCCGATATAAGGGCTTGTTAAGGGCTTAAGGCTTATTTGGGCTCCCTCCCCTCCCGTCCCTCCTCACATGACTTCAACCTCAGGTCAAATCTGAGTCGCTCGATGGACATATTCCGCATTTGGCTCTAGCAGACTTTAGGCATTTGAACAACTTGTGCGGAGTAGGTTTGGTTGGCTCAGCAAAAGCAAAGAATGGATATGCTGATCTTCGAGCGCAACACCTTCCCAGATGTGGTCCTCCCAGAGGACGCAGAAAAGGTTATTGCCACTGGTTTTGGTCGAGCTGATCCTTTGCACTAAGTGGTTCACTTGTTGCTGGTGAAGGGGGGGACCTTCGTCATTGTCCAACAAATTGAGCATGTGGGGGACGAGATCGTTGATGTATCCGAGTCGGTGGCTAAACTGACCGTTGCTTTTGTCAAACAAGGAGCTTGTTTCGTGCCTTTTGGTCAACAGGGGATTGGTTTAGGCCAAAGGGATTCCCTGCCAAAGGACTTACGTTGACTGGGACGGAGGGTCGGTCTGGATGGCTGAAGAATCGCGCGACAGTGGTTGCATGGTGGCAAGGCGTTATACAGTGGGTTCGATCTTGGCAAGTGCAAGCACCAAAGAGCCAAGTGGCACTTGTTTCGTTCTTGCATTCCAAGAACAGTTGAAAAGGTTTATCAATTTGTGGGTGTCTCAAAGATGTTGCTTGGGATTGCGTTCCTTCAAATTATTTATGGGAGGGTTGCTTTGAGAATGTCGCATACGTGGACCCAGAATGACCCAGAGTTGGTGTTATCTGTGGTTTTGGTATGCGACTGAGGACTGCAACTTGGGGTCAGAAGCCAGGCGGTCAAAGCTGCTTTTTGTGGGAAGCAGTCGCTGACAGCCACCGGCGGATCAATGTGACTGGTTGAGCAACGCCTAAAAAATGGTTGGCTATTTCAATACATGGTCTGCATGCAAGCCCTGAAAAAGCGTCGGTTGTCCTCTTTGTTAGGCATTTAGAAGGGCTCTCCACAGTTCCCTTTGTGCTATATTTTGGGCATTTAGTTGTAGATAATTCCAAAATGAAGTCCTCGAGGTCGTTGGTGATGTGTTTCGGGGTTTGCATGTTCAATCTTTCCATGCTTCCCAGCAAGAGGGGTCTTAGCCAATCCAGGCCAGTTTTGGTCAGGTTGTGAGGTTGTGGTCAGGCTCTGTGGCTGTTGCGGACGCTTGTGCTTGTTAGGCAACCGTAAGTTGGACACGTTGCAAACGTCTCACAAATGTTTCCAAATCCTGTGCAGACGCTACGGTAACAAGGCAGAGTCTTGGGGTTCGCCTCGTGGCATCGTTTCGCGTGGAGCCTCGGGCAAAAGTTCTCTCCCAAATTGCTGTGCATTTCAACTACCTGGAGTCTTCATGACCCTCCCTTTATTTTGGGTAATGACCCCATTTTTAAAGGGTCGTGGATACTCCAAGTAAAGACCTTGGTGATGGCTCTCACTGTGGCGGCGAATTGTTTATTCGCATTGAAAGCGAATCCTTTTTGGCTGTTTCCCTCGCGGGACCTTTTGCGAGCTCCTTGCGCAAAGATCCTGAGGGGTGAGATCTTGGAAAGAGATCTTGCATAGGGGTCTTGCGCAGAGAGCCTGCAAAAGCTTTTCAAAGAAACCCCGTGACCTTCTGTAAGGATCCTGTTGCACAGAATCTAATACCGAGAGCCTTGCAAAGGGAAGCGATTGTGTGCAGAGACCCTGCAAAGACCCAGAACAGATGTTCAACCAAAGATGGAAAAGTCCTGCACAAGATCTAGCTTCTGCCGCCCTCTTAACAAATCGTGCACAAGTCCTTGTCTAGAGATCCAGTGTAAAAGGCTTGCCGGGCAGCACCTGAGATCCGAGATCTTTGGTCCAGGGATTCGTCCCATTTCCCGCCGTTCGTCTCAGGAGCTTGAGCTCCGCCTGCCGAGAGATCGGAGCTGGAGCGAGGGCCCGCTGGTGCCAAACTTGCCTGTGAAAGCGCGAGCCGAAATTTGTGTGCCCACTGTCACTTGACTGCCCGTAACTTTTCGTTCAATTTGTTCCACATTTGTTGGAAGAAAGCCAGTTTAATTTCTTCACGAAAAATCACCAGCGCGTTTTGACAAGCCAGGTGACCCCCAGGCAAGTGATTTGCAAGCCCTGCCTGTTCTTCGCCTCCCGCCACGGCTGCGAACACGATTGTGGCTTTTGCCACAAACATGCGGCTGCCGTGTCGGACAAACGGCCTCGGAAGCAGACTCGGGACAAGATCAAGCAAATGCTTCTTGAGGTAATGGAGAATATTGACTTGCAGGACTTTTGCAATTTGGTTTCAATCCTTCTACAGAGAGTTCTCACAAAGTTCAAGAATGGATCTTGCGTTGCGCTGTTTCTTCGTGTCGATGGCTTTTTCTCGCCTTAGGGTTTGCAAAACGCCGAGACTTCTGTAGTACAATCATACGTAAATCTGCAAGGAGAAGACGGGCCCATGTTGGGCAAGCAACATTGTTTTGATAGCGGGTTGCCTCTGACTGAATGGTTTTGTCGTGAGCAGAGTTTGCTGACAAGCGCAGTCATGGAAGGCTCCCAACCCTAGTTGGGCAGCTTCCAATCTTGTGGCACCTTGCAAGAACCTCCTATTCAATGAAATCAGTCATTTGCGCAGTTTTCAACTAGACCTTTGGTTTGTATCGCGTTTGGGAGGATTTTGCCAGGGTGTGCGTAGGGGCTGAATAAGTAGAAATGTGGTTTAGACGCGGCGACTTAGTTTGGTCTTACAACTTCCCCATTCCAATCATTTAGACCCCTACGACAAACAAAGCCAATTTGGATTGGAAGT